GCCACGGGTCACCAGTACGCACCCCTCAGAAGGGCCAAAACCCTAACTCTGACAACACCGAATGCAGGAACTGTCACCCACCGCTGGTGGCCATGCGGGAGGACAGGCCCTTCAGAGGCCTTGCAGCTTTTTGCAGACATCCATCCTCTAACATGTGACCCGGCAGTCGAGCTCCTTAGAATTTACAGAAAGGAACTGAAGGCTTGTTTTCACCCAGACCCTGCACACAGGTGGCCACAGCAGTGTTCCTGACGGCAGGGCTGGGAACAGCCAAGATGGCTCAGCAGGTGATGGGTCAACTCCGGACAGCCAGACCACAAAATAGTACCCAAACCTAAAAGGAAATGAGCTATCCAGTCACGAGGGAAGGAAACGTAAATGCTTATTAGTAAGTAAAATCCACGTAGTATATGATCCCAACACTACCATACCTTAGAGAGGGCGAAACTGTGGAGATAGTAAAAAAGATGAGCGGTTGTCCCAGGTTTGGGGACGGGGTGGGAGAGGAGGCCAAGGCTAAACAGGCAGAGCCTGGATGATGTCAGGGCAGCAAGCCTCCTCTGTAAAACACCACACGCTGAATACACGTCCTCAGACTTCTGTCCAAACCCATGGAGTGTGTGCCGAGAGCGAGTGGTACTGCAAACCCTGGGTTTAGGGTGCTCCTGAGAGCTAATGTAGGTTCACCGACTATGACCAACGTATCCCTCGGGCAGGGGATGCTGATGATGGATGTCATGCCTGGGAGCAGAGGCCACCAGGGAACTTGGCACCTTCTGCTCAATTCTGCTGTGAACCTAAAACTACACTAAAATAAGAGTCTATTAAAAAAAGAAAGCGGCCTGGAGAGGCAGAAGAGGGTAGGGAATCAGATAGCCTGCTTGTCACTTTGGCCAGGAAGAGGGAAGAACTGGTGCTGGAAGCCATGGAGGGAAAAGAAGTCACAGCAGCAGTGACCTGACCCCAAGCAGCCAACTTCCGCTCTCAGCTGAGGGCAAGATCCAGACAGGAGACTCAAAACCAGGGCACTCTGGGCTGTGTTCTTCTGGCCCTGGGAAGACACCAAGGAAGGAGGACACTGGGGTTTCCCCAGGAGCTGGGACTGCAAGCCCTTTTCACAGGGGGAGAAGCACCTTTCCATCTAGGGTATGTAGGAAGTGACACCCCAGGGCCAGGGCCTTGCCCAGCCTCCCTGCTCAGAGGGCAGGGTAGCCAGGCCAGCCTGGACAGGCAGAGGCCCCAGGCAGGACTAAGGCAGGAGGAGCAGGAACTTCCAGTAAGAGCCTGGGATGATTTCACAAGAGCAGGGCTGTGACAGCAAGGGCTCACTCACCTCTGCTACAGACAGCCCGAGGCCCAGGCTTCCCAGGAGCCTTGCCACCACGAGGCTTCTAACAGGAGGGAGTCCTGCCGGACGGGAAGGCCCTACAGGAGGCCCTGCAGCTCCAGGGGCAGGGGGCACAGAAGTCCATGCAGGCTCCTAGCAGATACCGTGAAATAAAAGGTTTCTCCTAGTTTGCTGAATTCATTTATTAGTTATAGAAGCTTTCTGGTGGAATTTCTTGGATCTTCTAAATATAGAATTACATGGTTGGCAAATAGTGATACTTTGAGTTCTCTTCTTTTCCTACCCCTTTAATTTCTTTCTTCTAATTGTTCTGGCTAGAGTTTCAACAAGTATGTTAAACAGAAATGGTAAAAGAGGATATTCCTGTCTTGTTCCAGTTTCTACAGGGAATGCTTCCAATTTTTCTCCATTTAGAATGATGTGGGTCTGGGGCTTAACATAGATAGCTTTCACAACATTGAGGTATGATCCTACTATTCCTAGTTTTTCTAGTGCTTTGAACATGAAGAGGTGCTGTATTTTATCAAACGCTTTCTCAGCATCTATTGAGATGATCCTATGATTCTTGTCTTTAAGTCTACTGATGTGACATATTACATTTATTGATTTCCATACGTTGAACCAACCTTGCATCCCTGGGATGAACACCATTTGAGCATGGTGCACTATCTTTTTAATATGTTTTTGTATGCAGTTGGCCAGGATTTTGCTCAGAGCTTCTAACTGATTGCTCATTTTTTTTTCCTTTTTTTTGCAGTGCTGGAGATTAAACCCAGGGCCTGCCACATGCCAGGCAAATGCTCTACCATGGGCTGCCCGCTTGCCCACCCAGCTGTAAAGTCTGTTGAAAGCTCCGACTCACTCTTGCTTATTCCCGCTACACAGCATGTGGTGAGAGGAAGCCCAGAGCCACCCGCAGACATGAGGGGGAAAAGGTCACGTGTCACGATTCCCTCTCCTTGATGTCATCTTTCGACCAGTTTCTCTCGATTCCTACCATGTCTGTACTTTATCACCCTTCGTCCTATACTGGCCATATGTTAGCTCTTATTAAAACACTAACACACACACACACACACACACAAAAAAAAAAAAAAAAAACAGATTAAATTAAACTATTCTGTGATTCTGGGTGGTGGAAAAAAGGAGCTGTTGCTTAATGGGTGCAGTGTTTCCATCTAGAGTGAGAAATTCTGGAAACTTCAAGGTGAAGGACACACAACACTGTGGATGTAATTAATACCATGCATAGCAGGCTTAGAAATGACCAGAGGGCAAACTTATGTTATATACGTTTAGCCACAGCAGAAAACACAGGACCAGTCTTGAAGTAGGCCACCTCTGTATATTCTTTCAATAAACATATTTTAGAATTAAAATAGATTTTGTGACTTTTGATGGTTGAAAACCCTTGTTCTGTTGAGCACGACCAAGTTAAAGCACTGAGTATCAAGAGTACTACTGTTGTCCGAGAAGCTCCACACCTTTTGTGAACACTGTGTTAGTCCTCTTTCCATCACTATAACAAGATACCCTGGGATCATCTACTCATAAGGAGGAAAGGTGTATCTTGGCTCAGGGCTTCAGAGTTTTCGTCCAAGGTTGCTTGGGCCTGTGCTGAGCCCGCACATCATGGCAGCAGCACATGACAGAGAAGCCCGCTCACCTCAGCAGCTGAGCACAGAGGGAGAGGAAGGGCTGAGGGTCTCGGTATCCCCTTCAGGGATGCACCCCCAGGAACCACCTCCCACCAGGCCTACCTCCAGCACACAGGCTTTGGAAACACTTCAGATCCAAGCACAGGAGGATCTGAGAGAGGCACTCGGGGACAGAGATCTGGACCTTCTCCTGGGAGACACCAGCTGGTCTTGCTGACGAGCAAGCTCCGAGCAAGCTCCGGACAACCCGTGTGCTCGAGTGTCCCTCTGCAGACATCCTAATCCTCCAGACCCCCTGCAGGCCACTAAGACCTACTCACATGGACACTCACCTCAGCTCTGACCCAAGCAGAGCGGGAGCTGGGGGCTGCAAGCTGGGCGCCGGCTTTGGTGTGGACCAGTTTTGACAGGCGATAGCCACACAG